TGGTGAGCTCCGAGAAGACTCTGTGTTCAGGGGTTATTCTCGCGAGTAGACTGATCCGAGATGCCTCGTGAAAAGGCGCCTCTGTGGGATCAGATAGCCAGTGCAGACACTGTAGACCTGAGTTGGCATAGCAGTGGTTGCGAGTGTTGGCTAGCAGGAGAAAGCCTTCCAGTCTAAATTCGGGAAGGGGAATACCTGGCATTGAATCTGTGGGCTTCTTTGTGGCTGTCTTCGCCGAGGTCGTGGGCCTTGCTCGAGTATATTCTCGGGGCTGCTTACTGAGCTGCTGACGCGCTACCTCCTGCAGTACGTGCACCTGCAGTAGTGGAACGCACTGCTGAGCATGTCTACCCGGGGCATCCACACGGAGTTTGCAATAACGACAGCTATCTCCTTTGTGAAAGAAGACCTTGAACTGAGCAAGTCTTGGTTGGAGAGTTTTCTCAAGCTTGGCCATCACTTCAGGATGCTGCTTGTTTAGGTGCTGTTTGGCTCCTTTCTGACCAACAAGGACCTGACCGCAGAGTGCACAGTGCTCCATCAGGTAATCATGGAACACCGGATTTCGAGCTGCTCCTTCTGGATTTTCCTGAGCATCAGACTGTAGACTTTCTGTAAGTGAAATCCGGTTCTGGGCTTCTAGAGGGAGCTCTTCCTGCTGTCGAAGCAAGAGCTCTACCCGAGGGCATGTAGATGCTTCGACGTGTTTGCGCAGATAGAACACTGTTCGGAATGTTGCTCTACAGGCGATGCAAGTTGCTGACCCTGGCATTGAATGCAAAATAGGGTCAAATTTGGGTCCTTTCAAGCTTTGCTGCGAGTCTGGGTGGGCCTTCTGCAGGTGGCGACGGAGTGCCCCGGTACCAGAGAGACATGCTCCACACTCGCCGCAGGTCAGGATCTTATCCTCTACTGATTGCGAGGAGAAGTCAATGGCAAGGCCTTCCAGAGCCTGGCTGATTGCCTCAGCGCGCAGCTTGTAGTGTGGGAGGAGCTGAGGATCTGAGTGTTGCTGTCTCTTAATGAACTGTGTCAGCCTCTTTTGCAGCTGCTCCTTCACGTGAGGAATCCGTACTCTCCGGAGTAACTCCTGGTTGGATTCCTTCGTTTCCTGGGAGTAGCTCCGCAGGACAAACCGAAGTTGGTACATCATGTGTGAATGGAGCTTCTGCAATCCCTGCTGTGTCAGTCCTACCACGTGAAGGGCATACAGAGCAGAGGCCCACGCAGTTATTGTCCAAATTGACAGACGACGTCTGTCTGATAGGACTCGATGGTTCCTAACTGCATGGGCGACTTCTGACATTGCTAGCTTACTGGATGACAGCCGATGTTTAAGGGTCTTCATTTCGTAGTCATGATAAGAAAGAATGACCCCCAGGTATGGGACCTGGTACCGCAGCGATATCAACTTGCCCGAAGGGAGTTCCACAAACTTCTCTCCATCTACCTGGCGAAATAGCTTTTTCCTAATTGTCGAGGCTGAACCTCCTTGTAGCTGCAGCAGTATTGCTGACTTGGACGGATTGACCTTGAACCCAAGTTCAACCAATTGATCCAGAAGAAGGTCGCAGTACCCTAGTGCTGTAATGAGGCCAGACTCAGACTCGAAATGCGACTGAATCAAGCTATCATCCGCATACATGGTGAGAAGTTTAACTAGTTCGGGGGGGCTGATTTTTCCAGAGAGCTTCCTAAAGAGAAGCCCGGATGCAAAGGCGAATAGGGAAGGTGCAAGCTTGCATCCCTGCTTGATTCCCCTGCGTGTGGCTATCTCAAAGCTCTGATCGCTGGCTGTCATCTTGTACAAGGCTTTGATGTGGAGATGGCCCACCACCTCTATAAGAAGAGGGTCTGCTTGTTCAGCTTCCAGGGCTTCTCTTAATCGTAGCCTGTCCACAGTGTCAAAAGCTTTGCTCATGTCAACGCTCATCGTGAGACTGCCCCTGAGCTTGAGCCCCTGTTGTCCCTTACCAGCCGCTCTAGTTGTAAGGGCCTGCCTGAACCTGGCCTGATCCACATGTGTGAGGGCCTTGCAGATCGCCTCCTCTGTGCCCCTACCTGGTACGAAGCCAAACTGAGAGACTCCTTGCATTGCTTGATGGAGGGTGGACTTGAGTCTCTGCCTCACAAGTCCTGCCAGGACCTTGCCCTCAGGTGCTATCACCCCGATCGGACGGAGTGATGTTGGCTTATCTGGCTTCTTGGGGGGCTTTGGGAGCCAAGAGATCTGTGACGAGGTGACGCTGTCCGAAAGCCTTCCTGCAGTGACTTCCCTATTGAGAGTGTCCGAGATGAGCCGAATAGCGTTGGGGCCTAGGGAGCGCCAAGCTACTATGGGAGGACTTTCTTTAGGAACTGCTTTGCCAAGCTTTATAGTGCCTAGCTGTTCTTGAACTTCTTGCTCGGTGATGTGCAGGCTGCCTTGTATCCCTGTGAGCGGGAAGTCGTCCCCTGCTCCAAACAGTTCAATGGAGTATTCCTCTAATTGTCTACGTTCTTCCTTGGCTGTTAGGAAGCGACCCTCTGAGTCACGTAGCTGAACTCTTTCCTGAGGCCTCCCCGACCGGAAGCGCTTGATCACCTTGTAGAGGGAATGACTCCCGTCTTGCTTGGATTTAAGCTCTGCCTGCTCGAGTTGTTCATCTATTTCCTGTCGTCGCCTTTCCTGCTTCTGACGCTTTGCTACCCTCGCCTGTGCACTTTGCTGAGACAGCGACAGCCAGCAGCGAAATACCATTCGGACCTGCAACTCCGGCAAGAACTCTGCTAAGACCTTGACTGACATTGGGAGTGAGCGCAACACTGTGCGCTCTGCCCAAATGCTGAGATCTGATCTTTGTGCTGCTCCCTTTCTCTTGGGAAAGTGAGTCGCGAGGGCTGAGTTCATTGCTTGATGGAGACTCTGCCAGGTTTGGGGATGATCCTGAAGGAGGGAGTCTACCTCCCTGGCAAATGCCTGTATTTTCGGGGAACGGTGTCTGTAGCAGTCCTCCATTGCCTGCTGGTCATAGGGTTTTGAGGCTTGGGCGGAGTATCTCCTGCTGTGCCTCAGTTTACCAAGAAGGGGGAAATGCCTACTACCATCCCTCCAGGATGCCACTGGGAAGGTCCTTAGTGGCCGGCAAAACCTGGCAGGGCCTTGGGACTGTGCAATCCTGACAAACGAGAAGTCAATCTGTGAAACAGAGTTGCCTTGTTCGTGGGTGGCTGGTCTATGCACTCCCCAAGTGTTGGTTGCGACTAGCTGGTGCTCCGACAGTAGGGTCTGGAGATCCTTAGATCCGCGATGCCCGAGTCTGCAAGCCTGGATCGTGCATGGCCCTACGTGTTTGTTGTCGGTCTTGAGCGAGGAGTTAAAATCTCCTAGCACAAGGAGAGTGTTGCGATTGGGAACAGCTCGGATGGACTTACTTAGGGCGTGAAGGGTCTGCTTCCGGGTTTCCTTATTCTGAGCGACTGTCTCCTTAGAGCGCCAAACGTATTGATAGCAGCTGAAGACGTCCAGTGAGATGCCGTTGCTCGGCACCCGGACCTGGAGAACTCTTCCTGGAACAACCTCGTTGTAGCGAAGATCCTGTGACTTGCACAGCGTGGAGTGCACCATTATGAGGACCCCGGCTCCCTTCTCCCCTGTGGAACCAGAGCTGATCACGTGCCAACCTGACTTGCTGAATTGCCATGAGCCCCTCCAGTGTGTTTCCTGAATTGCTACCAGCTTCACATCCTGAAATGCGGCACTTTGCAGTACGGAGAGTAACTCTTCCCAAACTGCTGTTGTGAGAGATCCTGCGTTCCAGGATAGATAGCTGAGATTCTTATCTTCTGTAAATTTTGAAGGCCGAGTCCTTCTGCCGGGATTGGTGGGCTTTACATGTGCCGGAGCAACTCCAAGCTCTGTTGACGACATCGTCCTTCCCTTGTAGACCGCACTACCTTCAAGCAGAGCTTTACGTGCTGCCCTTTGATAAGAGCGTTTACCCTTCCCTTTAGGAACGGGCTGATGCTTGGTCGAACCACTAGGCTGTTTCGCAGCACTCATGTTGAGTACGGCTCCTGTCGGCTTCGCAATACCGACAACCCTCACCTCTGGGAGATGTTAGAGAGCTGTAAATCTAATACTCCCTCCCGGACTTGGGACCGGGACTGCTCAGGCGCTGACAAATGCCATGGCAAGAAAGGAAAAAGGCAACTGTACTAGCCTGACCTTTCCTGAGCCGAGAGGCTTCCAATAACACGAAGAATAACACCAACAACAACATCAACCACAACGACACCAACACCAGCACCGCCACCACCACCAACCACAACAACAACAACAACCACAGCCACAACTACAACCATAATCCACAATCCACAACCACAAGGGCAACAACAGCAGCAACAACCGAAACAAACAATGCACAATAACCGCATTCACCCAACAACATTCAACAAACACCTTGCAACAATCAAAGTTTCACACACAACATTCAACAACCAACAGCAGCAACAACGACGACGACAACAACATCAACAACAGCAACATCAACAACAGCAATAACAACACCAACAACAACAGCAACAGCAACAGCACTGCCGCCGCCACCAATTCCAACACCACCATCAGCACAACCAGCAACAGCAGCATCATCCACAAAAAGAACAACAAGAACAATAAGAACAAGAACAACACCAACATCAGCAGCAACAGCAACAGCAACATCGACATCAGCATCAGCATCAGCAGCAGCAGCAGCAGCAACAACAGCAACAACAGCAACAACAGCAACAACAGCAACAACAGCAACAACAACAGCAACTGCAAACATGAACAATCTATATATATATATATATATATATATGTACATAATACAATGTATAAATATATATATATATATATATATATATATATATATGTAAATGTATATGTATATGTACATGTGTATCTGTACCTGGGGCCCTCTAGGACCGGTCCTGAATTCCAAACCCTGACCCCGAAATGAAAAGAATGTGAAAAGGATGGCGCCTTTGCCTCCTCGCCGCCGCGCCACGCGCCCTTGCGACAGTTGCCATCAAGCAACCAGGACTCCGCAAGGGTTTAGGGGTTTATGGGGTTTACAGGATTGTAGGGCTTTGGGACAATCACAGGGTTTGTTGGGCTTCCCGGGCTTCCAGGGTTGATGGGGTTTGTAGCGTTCATAGGATTTGAGGGTTTAAGGTTGCAGACTGTCACCATGAAGAAACCAAGTCCCGGCATGGACAACGGTGCCGATAATCACAACCTGCTGGGTATTTCTTATGCCAACTGCAGGTAGGAGTACAAGAGTAACAGAAGAAAGCTCGTCAAAAGTTGAGAACAGCAGTATACTCCCAGCTTGTTTACAGTATGCATGTGGGAGTTCTCAAATTAGGGTACCATCATTTTAGGTCCCCAAAATAGTACTGCACCCGATAAGATGACCCTGAAGCGGATCCTGATTTAGAGTACCACCCGTAGTGTTTTTTGACTCAGTACACTTTGCAGATCTCCGCTTGCATCCCGAACTTGTTCCTACTCAGAAGATCAGCTTTCTCTCTCTTGATCAGATCATACGGCTAAGTCAACCACGGTTTCATGAAAGTTGAAGTTGCGCTCCCCGGTTTGCTGCAGGAGTTCTGTAGCTTCAGTGACCCTTCTGGCATGTGTTACCGAGTTGTGGGGCCTTCGGTAATACTTATATTGTAGTACCCTATAGATCCCTTATAGAACCCGTCAAGGAGCCCTGTAAAAGAAACCCTACTCTGTATACCTTCTCTTATCAGCCTCTGCTCAGATTTCACTCCCCGAATCCCTCTTTGCTTTGTCGAATTGTTTTCCTGCCTCCTTGGAGCTGATCAAGGTCATAGCCCATAGCGTGAAGTCGGCATCCGAATCCGATGTCTTGTTCCAGAGGGGCCCCTACTTGGAGGTCCATGGGTAGTTGTAAGTGGGGTTATAAGTCCCTTAACATGGGTTATAAGTATGGCTACCCTAATTCTAACCCCACTTGTAACAACCCATGAACCTGCAAGTAACACGTCGCATGACCTTCCAAGCCCTTAGCGAACCCCATAACCACTCCTTTCACTATGCACACAGCCTTGCAGACCCCAACCCTGCGCGTTAAAGGTACTTATAACCTTACTTACTATGTCCCATGATCCTCCAACAGGCCAATCAGCGCCCATTCCTTTTCAACCCTCCTCCCGCAAGCTGGCGTTGCAGGCACGCCTGTGAGGCTGCCGGTGAGCTCTGAGGACTCCCCTCAGGCCTGACAGTGGCTTATATAGGTTTTTAGCCGGTTTCACAGGTTTTATACATTTCTTAGTAGGTTTCAGGAGGGGGGCTATAGTTGTTAGTAGGTTTTAATCGGTTGTTATGGCAAGACATGGTGGTTGGAAGCTTTGGCTTGCTTGCTTCGTTGCAATCTCGTACGTCGTAGGTCTTTGCAACTTGTTTTTTGTAGTGTTTTGTGTTCTAGACTAGGGGGTGGTTGGATTGTCGTGTGTGGTTTTCTGCACGGTGTTCCGTGATTACGCTTCCAGATGGAGGCTTCGAACTGTACAGCGGCTTGAGATGTTCAGGCTGCACGGTCACAGCCCTAAGGCCCTAAGTCTTGGAGTCTTAGAGGCCTCAACTTTAAACTTTGCAGCTCCAAACCAAAGTTTTTGTTGCACTGGTCTTAATTTGAGTCGCAACTGGCCGCTCCTGGTTGTGATGCTGTGGAGATTCGTGCTTGGTAAGCTACTAAAGTGGAGATACGATAGCTGCTTTAAGACAATGACCAGCCGCAACATTTGCACATGTCATTAACATCAGTATCACAACATCTTCCTGATCGCATCTTAAGTCCAGCAGAATCCATGGCCTCCACTCCTGGCGTTTGCAGCGGCGCTCTTGGCCCGAGATCACGCCAATGAACTTGCCGGGCCTCTAATCTGCGACCTGGGCGATTGCATGTTGGAGCTTAGAGCGATTTAGGGTCATAAACCGTGACGCACGCCTCATGCCCTGATCGTTGAACGGATCAAGCTCACTCACCAAACACATCCGTTAATACCGCCTTGCTTTCCACGCCATGGCTGGTTTAATTAACGAAGGTGAAGCATGGATGTCATTCCCTGAATTGAATAAACATGATCAGCAGTTCCAGCAACAGTAGGGACAGCTATCGTAATATTGAAATCGTAGTAGTGCACAGCCGTGACTGGGGACCACGACTCATGAAAGACGCCATGAAGGAGCACACAGTAGAGCCAGCAGAGCACACTGCCACACAACATGGTTACTCCGAATATAAGTTCCTGAACAATCAGAGTAGGGTTTTGGGGCCCATTATACTCCAATTATAAGAGGGTAACCCAAAATGATAAGGATAACTTTAAAGGCCCCTATTTTACCAACGAACTCTTTTCGCCCAAGCGACCTCAAAGCCTTACTTGCCATGGCTTCTGGGTGGATTTCTCGGGTCATTGCCAGGTGCGAGACCAGACTAAGCAGGGTTCGGGGCTGCTGCGGGTTTGAACGGGATAGAAGGCGGCTACATGACAAGTATTGCCATAAGTCTTCTATGGGCGGACACATGGTGATGGCCTTCCGCACGTTGAGGTGATAGGTTGAGGTTAAAGGCTTGTTCGGGCGGTGTGGCTGTCGTGCACGTTAAGATCAGGTTCGTGCAGCCAACAGCCGTAACTCGCGTAAAGCAGAGGGAGGTTTATAAGTGCGCATGGTTAGACTGCAATGAGGCAGTCGTGACCGACAACTACAGTAGCAATCGCCGTTAAAATGAGAGTATCGACGGAAGGAGGATAGCAGCACTTGTCTGTTCAACACTCACAGAAGACAAAAGTCAGCCGGCGAAAAGGTTGAAAGGTAGGAACTCAGTCCGAAAGCCTTGAGAACGGACCTGCAGGTGCGACACTCGCGGCGATGCACGTTGGGACGCCCCGCCGTCTGACCTGTTGCGACTAATGTAGGGGCCTTGAGAATTAGAATAGGGCGTGGGGTGTGTTATTATATTATTATTTAAGTATAATAAGGAACCCCACCAGACACTAGTCTAGTTATTAAGGCCCCTACATTACTGGTCGCAAAGCTTACAGCAAAGACCCTCAGCACCCCACGGTTCCTAACTTCACTAGTTTATGTTTCTGCGGCCTCAGGTCACAGGCCTAGAGATAGATGCATTTTCATTTTGTCGCCCCTGAAACTTTCAACCATAATCCATATCTCCCGACCCTCAAGGCTTTATCGCACGTTTAGCCTTGCATTGCTACATTGCGCTTCGTGGACTATGCTCAGCCGATGGTGGTGTTTGAGCTATCCGCCTTTTCTTCCGCGCATCCCGCTACAAATAGCCGTCATAAGTTGATAGGTATTCTCCGTTCGTTCGGCTATTGCATCGTGGTACGAGACTGCTCATGAGCGTTCGAAGCCTCGCGAGAATCGTACTGGGAGTAGGTAAGTTGTACAAGTGGTAGCAATCGGAGTAGCAGTAGCGCGAGCAGAGCTTGCAGAAGCAGCAGTTGCGTTGCGCTAGCAATAGCAGTAGCAATGTAGCAATGTAGCAATAGCAATAGCAATAGCCATAGCAATATTAGCAGAAGTAGTAGGCCAGAAGAAACAGTAATGGTAATGTCAATCCGTTGCGGCTTCGCGTATCTGCAGCTGTGAAGCATGTTCTAAACATCGCTTGAAGCTGACAAGGTCGTTGGGATCAGGGTTGAGGTTCAGGGTGCACGGCATTTGTGCAAATAATATGGTGGATCTGTAGACAGTCGGGTCGATGGCTGGTGTTGAATGTGATGGCTGGTGTTGAATATACAGATGGCACTTTGACGCAAGAGTGTTGATTGTCAACAACAGTGATACTAGTAAAACTCAGAGCCAAAACCTCAGTTCATAACAGCGCGAGCACTCAAGTGATGAGTATCTCAGTGTCATTGACCAAGGACAAGAAGACGAAGCAACAAACTGGTAAGCCTCCAGTTCTACGGAGCTGAGTGACATCAATTTTTGTCACGGCGGCCACAAGTTGCCGCGAAGCTTTTCCGACGAGGAACTTGCTCGGACAAATGAGGTCCAGGTCTATACTGCCCGTACTACCCAGAGACTCCAATATCAGTTAATTAAGGAATATTCCTTAAATCATATGAGGGATCCTACTATAATTTAAGGAATATTCCTTAATTAAGGGATATTGGAGTCTCTGGGTACTGCTGATGGACAAAATCCTGCTTGACCCTAAGGATTTTAAACTATGGGAACTATGGTATATTCCTTATAGTGGGGTAATGCAGGATTTTGTCCATCAGCAGTATCATGGGCTTCTGCAATAGTAGGTAGTTGAAGTACATGAATCGGAGTGTGACGCTCCACAGCCCTGTCTGGGAGCATGAGCCTCACTGTGAAACAACCGTTTGTCAAGTAGTAGGGGAGTTCATGTGACACAATACTATACTAGTACTGCTGTTAGCAGGACTGACATTGACGAAAAGAGTCGTCACATCAGTAGTAATGACTCCCATAGCTTCAACACCCTCATCGCATCAATCCTGTCATGTCCAGCGCGACCTTTGGTTGTTCCTCCCGCGTCCGCTGCATGGCTCAAACCCAACTGGCCATTACTCCGCTAGCGGCTTTGCTCCTTGGCATCGTGGTAAAGGTTCGGGGCTTGCAGGGGGCTCGACACATTAGCTCTTGACCCCAAATCCTGAAAGGTGTGAGCTGATGCATGAGTTGCTTCAGGGGGCAAGCCCTAGCACCACCATCGCTGATTATCAAACATTATGTCCCACATCAGAATTACCTCCACAATCAACAGCTGGTACCAGCAAATGATCCGAGATGCCGAGCAACAGCAGTAGCAGCTTCTAGGTCCTAGGTAACAGGATATAGGGTTTGGGGTTCAGCAGCTTTGACTTTGAAAGTTTCTTGTCAAGCTATTTCTTGTCAAGCTATCTTCCAGACGAAACCCCACCCGCCCGCAGAATCCCCTCACATTAGGATTGATTGGTTTATTTCTATCAACTTGAAGTAAATAAACAATCCTTTACATACTACCGAAAAATTTTAACTATAGTGGTAACCATTAGTTTGAAGTAAGTATTCTACAACTGTTCATCTATACCTTGACGCTAATGCTTGACAGAACATATCACATATTCCAGACAGAAACTACACAACAGACCGTGATGGATCGCGGATGTTGTGGTAAGGTTTTGTCGCGCCCTGCCCTGCGCTGCCTTGCATGCTGGGTGTTTGGGGCGGGCGGGGGCAAGGCTGGGGGAGGTGGGGCTTGGGGAGTGGGGTGGGGGAGCGGGGGCTGGATGTGGGTGGGGTGGTTTGAAGGGTGGGGATGGTGCTGGGGGTGAGGGTGATGGGGGAAGGAAGGGGGAAGGAGAGAGAGCAGGCAGCCGGGGAAGCGGAGTTCTGGTTTGGGGCACATGGTGTTGCAACCAACAGCGGTTGCAAAAGCCATGAAGCTGCTTGGTTCACGGTATGTATGTAGAATGAGGCTTTTCGCAAGTAGGGGATGCCACATTAAGAAGTAATCAGCACGGGACAGGGCTGTCTTGGAAGCGGTGACGTCGTTGTCCTCGTATCCACAGGCGTGGTCGTAGGCATAGTCAGCGTCGTGCGTAGTGGTAGTAGTGGTAGTAGTAGTTGTAGTGGCATTAGCAGTGGTAGTGGTAGTGGTAATGGTGGTGGTAGTGGTGGTGGTGGTGGCAGTACTTAGTAGTAGTGGTAGTGGTGGTGGTGGTGGTGGTGGCAGTACTAGTAGTGGTAGTGGTGGTAGCAGTTGTAGTAGCAGTAGCACCAGCAGCCGTACGAGTAGTAGCAGTAGTAGTAGTAGTAGTAGTGGTGGCCAATGGCTGCCGAAGCCACGAAGCTGCTTGGATGACAATTTCAATTTGGAGTTAGGACAACACCACAGTGGAAATCATCGGAGCGGGACAAGGCTGCACTAGTGGCAGCAGGAGTAGTAATACAGGCTGTCGTGGTGGTGGTTTTGGTAGTGGGTGGTCGTTCGTGGGAGTGGCAGTGCTAGTGCTAGTGGTAGTAGTAGTAGAAGTAACAGCAGGAGTAGTAGTAGTAGTAGTAGTAGTAGTAGTAGTAGTAGTAGTAGTAGTGGTTACTGGCTCGGGGATCGTCTCCATGTAAGTTGCAGCTGTCACATTATTGATTCTCGTCTTGCACACCGCTGCACACTGCAGCAATGCGGAACAATTTGTTTCACATGTAGTTATCCCTGAAATTCATTTCTATT